AGTCAAAGTTAAGCACTACCTTCTAGAATCAAATCTAGATTAAACTCTTGGCTTACTAGCTTACTAAATGTAATTGCAGAAGTCTTGGTGGCACTGTGGCTAAGAGCTTCACAGCTTACTAAAAGGTTGGTGGTTTTAACGCACCTGCCACTTTTTGAGAGAAAAATATTGCAGACTACTTCTGTAAAAATCACCACAGTCTACTTCTACAAAAACCAGGGCCATACTCCTGGCCTGATTCAGACCATGGTCTTTTCAATCATTTGCTATGCTGCTGAGAGTTGGACAGTGAAGAAATATGACAGAAGAACTGATGCTTTTGAACTGTGGAGCTGAAGAAGAATACTGAATATTCCATTGACTATCAAAAGAACAGATATGTCTTTTTTTAAAAAAATATTTTTATTTGTGATTTTAATGGAAGTTTACAAAAAGGTTGGATTTTTTCCTTCATTGTTGTACATTTTCCTCCCTAATGTGGCCCTCAGGCCTGTTTTTAATTGTTTTTGGCCATTCTTCTAAGTGGTAAAGCACCGATCCATTTGCTGTACAGAGGTAACTTGGGGTTGCTCTGATGCTAAACACTGTGACACTAATGTGTCAAATGCAATAATGGTTACCCATGGTACACAGTGTTTGGTGGTGCTCCCTGATTAAAACAAGCTTGGAAGCAGAAGTGGCATCCGCTTCCGAAACAGCTTGCCTCTGGAAATTCTATGAATTTGGAGAAATGATGAAAGTTATACAAGCATTCAGGTCTTTTGTTTGTAGAGGAATTATGAGTTGTCTACCACTCGATGGCACTTAACATCAACAATAGCCCCAGTTAGCTGTTTTTTTAAAAGAAAGAAAATTCATCTATTGTTGCATAATTTCCTCCCTCCCTTTTCACCCCTCCCCCAGCCCACTTTGCTCTGCACCTCTTCTTCTAGACTTTTGTCATACAAACAATGCATAATTATATATTTCTTCTAAACACTGCATTGGTACATATGAAAGAAAGAACTATTTAAAAGAACAGATATGTCTTGGAGACCGTGCATCCAGAGTGCTCCTTGGAAGATGATAAAGCTTCATCTCACATACTTTGGACATGATGCTAGGAAAGGCTATTCATTGAAGAGAAACTTCATGCTTGGGAAGGTGGAGGGGTAGCAGCAGAGAGGAAGACCCTCAGCCAGGTGGATGGGCACAGTGAGTGTGTCAGAGATGGTGAGGACGGCATAGAAAGAGAGATATAACTGGGTATTTCTGTCATCACAGGAGACTAGAGCGAGGGCTACATGGTGGAGGGGACCTGGGGGAGGGTTTGTGAAACAATGAAAGAATCTTTTCTTTTACCTTTCCATAATTTTTGGACTCATGTACTTATAACTTGTTAGTCAAATTTGTGTCTTCTAGGTTGCAACACCCCCATGATACAT